CAGTGAAACCAAAATGGACCCAAATTTTCCTTTGCCCTGGTGTTAGAGAGGAAAGATCGATTTGATGTTCACCAGTAATAGCACAGGCCCAAGGTGAGGTTGCAGACTGTATCTTAGGGAGCAGGCTGAGCAGAGAGAGTCAGGGTGTCTCTAAACTACATGCCTCCATAGACAGCCATGTAGATTAGGCAGGACGACAAAGGGAAATGAAGCAGCGATTTAAATAATCGCCGCTTCGTTTAAATAAAAATGGCCGCTGCGCTGTGCCGATCAGCTGTTTGTCAGCACAGTGCGGCAGTCTAGACGGGGATCTGCCGACCCCAGCACCCTTCGTTGGCAGATCCCAGCCTCCTAGCTCCACAGCTTATTTTCATTGGAGGGTAGACTGCAGGTCTGTGGTGTGGTGAGGCTGTATCATGTGCAGGCTTCCTTTTGTAAAGTCAGGCCCTGTGCATACCCTCTCCTGGCAGACACACATACGATACAACTTCCCCACTGCTAGGGTTGCCAGGTGTCCAGTTCTGAACCGGACGGTCCGGTATTTGAGGGTTCTGTCTGGGAAACAAATTGAGAAAATACCAAATTTTCTAATTAGGTAAGTTTTATTATTATTACGAGTATCAGTACGTAGTTGCGTACTACCTGGCTGGTAGACATGCTCACGCGGCGTAAGCGTGTCTACCAGCCAAAGGCAGTTCGCAACTACGCGAGGGGGCGGGGCCAGAGCAGGAGGGAGTCCCCAGGGCCGGACTCACTCACGCTTCGCCAGGACCGTGCGCTGGATGGGCAGCGCCCTGGGATCTCCATGCGCCCAGGCCAGTCCTGCTCCCCAGCGGCTAATTCTCTCCACCCGCTCCTCCCCCCAGCCAGGCCCGCTGCCCCCGATCCCTCCTCCGGCCAGCCCTGCTTCCCGCTGGCCGGTCGTCCCCCCCCGATCCCTCCTGGCAAGCCCCGCTGCCCCCAACCCTGCCCCCTAGGCCAGCCCTGGTTCCTGCCGGCCGGTTCCCACCCCCCCTCCCGGCCAGCCCCGCTCCCCTCCCGGCTGGTCCCCTCCCCATCTTTGATCAAGTGTGTCCAGTATTTTTTTGAGGTCACCTGGTGACCCTACCCACTGCCCAAGGTGCACACTTATTTCTGAGCAGGGACACTGTCCCCCCGCTGGTTGCAAACCAGAACCCCCAAGAACTGCCATGCTCTCATGGAAAACAAAACCACTGCAACTGCCTTATCAAGACTCTCTGAATTCATGACACAAGTCCCACAGCCTGCAGATCCCGTATCCCACCTCAGCAAACACTGACATCATGGTGACCACGATCCCCACCCCCATCTCTCGCCAAGCTTCACTCAGGAATTTCCTAAGGGGACACACACACACACCCAGCTGGAGTCTGCAGAGTCAGACCCTCTTGTGTTGCCCAGTGGCCTAGAACAGCGTGGCTTTAATATGCAAATTAAGTGTTGTGGCTTGCTCGGGACTCTGCTGCCCCCTCCTGGAGAGTGAGGGTTACTGAGTGGCTGCCCGCTCATTAATAGAACCCTGTTGGTCTCTGCCTCCCCCTGTTGGAGAGCCAGGGAGTTACCGAGTGACGTACCAGCTCGTTGCTATAAGCGGGTTCTCTGCCGCCCCCTGCTGGAGCACGAGGGGAGGCAGGAGCGTGGCAATGCCTTACTTGCAGCTCACCAAGAATGTGTCAGTCAGACGTGACTCTCAGCCGGCAGGTAGAACAGAAAGTTTATTCGTTGAACAGGACACAGCGTAGCACAGACTGGTTGTTACAGGAACTGGGCGCTTTCAGTACAATCATCTTGGGAAGAGGGGTGTCCAGAGCCAGGGCCCCCCAAGCCAGCTAGATTCCCCTCTCCCTAAACCAGCAGAAAACTAATTTACACCCCCAGCAACTGGTCTCAGCCCTCTAGGCATCCCCACCTCCTCCTTTGTCCTGCTTCCTGGGCCCAAGGTGTTGTGTCTGTCACTGGCTGCATTTTCCCCTAGGATCAGGTGACAGGAGGCCTGGGCCATTCCCGACATATCTTCCCTCAGGAGTCCTCAGCCAAAGATCCCATCCCCGCTGGGCACTGCACACACAGTCACTACAGACCAGCACAGGACAGTAGGCATCACATACACCGTAACAAAGCAAACAGCAGATACAATCCCCTTTCCATCCCATCTCTCCCCGCACGAGAACGAACTGAGCAGGGTCTCCCGGCCAGTGGCCTGGGGAAGTTCAGACCCCTCTCTCCATGCCAGAGCATCAGCCAGGACTCAGCACTGTCCTCAACACAGACCACCTCCATGTCATAGTCCTGCAGGAGCAGCTTCAGGCTCAGCAGCTCGGTGCTGGGCCCTTTGAGTTGTGGTGCAGACCCTGGAGCTGTCTGGCTGCTCCCAGCTGGGACAGGATCCAGCTCTGTGGGGGAATCATTCTCTTGCAGGTAAGCCATTAGCTGTGTTTTGCTGAGCCCTCCGATCTTCGTCCCTCTCCCCTTGCACGGCTCTACAATATCCCTCCCCAGGAGATGGGTATCGGGCGTATCCCAGCTGTTCCCAGGCCCGTTCTCCACGGTTCCCAGGGAGAACCCTTCAGTGTGTCAGCCTCCTTAGGCATCATAACCCCCTGGGGGTTAGAGTGCAGCCCCCTCCGCCTCCTGGGCTCACTCCCCACGGTCCACAGGAGGACCCTGTGATGCAGGGAGATTTTCTCCAGTCTTGTAGTTCGCTGTATTCACTCTGGTTGTGCATTCTCTGGCTGCTTTATGGCGCTGCCCTGTAGTGACTATGTCAGCAGGGGATGGGATCTCTGGGGGAGGACTCCTGGGGGAAGGCACACAGGGAATGGCCCAGGCCAGCCTGACACCTGAACTAGGTGGAGGATGAGTCAGCTGACACCTTGGCCCCCACCTCCCAAAGGGAACAAAGGGAGAGGCAGGACTGACACCAGGCTGGGAACTAGGGGCTGGTTTTAGGATGAGAGGAGGGAGGGGGGAAGAGGTCCCTGCTCCCCAAGAGGAATGGCACTGAAGGCTCTTGGCTCCTGTGTTAACAACAATCCCATGCACGCCTGACTCTTGCAAGCCCCCTTTCTTTCTCCTGCCCCCCCCCCGTTGCTTACTGCCGGATGCTCCACCCGTGGAGTGCAGACCATCCCACTACCACCGTCATGGAGGGTGGGGGAGTCACCAGGCCCTGCGCCCCCATCCGCAGCCAGACGGGACTCTCAGCCGGCAGGTAGAACAGGAGGTTTATTGGTTGACGGGGACACAGCGTAGCCCAGACTGGCTGTTACAGGAACCAGGAGCGTTCAGTACAATCCGTCTTGGCAATCGGGCTCAGAGCCAAGGTTCTGGGCCTCTGTTTGGCCCCCCAAGCCAGCTGAAAACTAACACACCCCCAGCAACTGGCCACTGCCCTCTAGGCAACCCTGCTCCCTCCTTTGTCCTGCTTCAGAGGGAGGCCCAAGGTGTTGTCTCTATCACTGGTTGCACTTTCCCCTAGGATCAGGTGACAGGAGGCCTGGGCCATTCCCTATGTGCCTTCCCTCAGGAGTTCTCTCCCAAAGATCCCATTCCCGCTGGGCACTGCATGCGCACGCACGCACGCACAGAGTCACTACAGAGCAGCACAGGACAGCAGAACCACATACAACACAACAAAGCAACCAGAGTGAATACACAACCAGAGTGAATACACAACCAGAGTGAATACAGTCCCCACGATGTCACAGGGGCCTTGATCTGTTTTCCTCTGACAGGCTCAGCCCCACCTGGAGCAGCCATTCACCAGCTGTGACTAGGTGGCAGGATCTGTCCAACAGCTGATCCCACCCCTTAATTCCTAACCCTGCCCCCCCAGGACACAGCTCCCCCTGCTGGCTGCTGAACAGCTCTCCCAGTTAAATGTGCAACTGCCCCAGAATGTCCAAGACTCCTTGGTGATCCCCCCCCCCAGTGCACAGGGCATGAATCTTACTCACACGCAAGCCCCAATGCACCAAGAGGGGCCCCTGAAACGCCTCCGCTCTGCACAGGGGTCCGTCTGGGCCACTGGTCAGCCACGGAGCACTGACAGGATCCTGTCTGAGGATGGGTAGGCCCCACGCTGAGCCCTGCACCAGCCCAGGACATGTGCCAGGTGCTGCGCAGGCCCCAGGCCAGGTAGCGATTCATGGTTTGATTTAATCACGCATTAACTGCAATTAATTGGCAGCCCTCTTATGTATCTTACTGTCTTTGAAATAAATGCTCTGAACAGCAGCCTGCCCGCCTAGGCTTGACTGTCACCAGCCACCCCAGGCACTGCAAGACAGTTCAGCAGCCTTAGCTCCATGTCACAGATGGGGAAACTGAGGCACGGAGCAGGGAGAGGACTCACACACAGTCCCCCAGCAGGCCCAGGTCTTAAGTTAGGAATAGTCAGGTGTCGGGCATTCCAGACGCCCTTCACAACATGCTTTACTGAGGGTCATTCGCAGCCACCATCAACACATAGACTCATAGACTTTAAGGTCAGAAGGGACCATTATGATCATCTAGTCTCACCCCCCTGTACAGTGCAGGCCACAGAATCTCACCCACCCCTCCCAGAATAATCCTCTCACCTATATCTCAGATATTGAAGCCTTCAAATACTTTGAAGGCCCTAAGATGCAGAGAATCCTCCAGCTGTAATCTGTGCCCCATGCTACAGAGGAAGGCGAAAAACCTCCAGGGCCTCTGCCAATCTACCCTGGAGGAAAATTCCTTCCCGACCCCAAATATGGCGATCAGCTAAACCCTGAGCATGTGGGCAAGACTCCCAGCCAGACACCCAGAAATTCTCTATAGTAACTCCTATCATCCCTCCATTGACCTATTTCCCACATGCCCAACTCCATCCAGCAAACCACAGCAAAAGGGCCAGTCTGCTATTCCTTCCCGGACCAGAGAGACTTTCTGGCAGGTCCCAGCTGCCAGGGACGAGCGTGGTTTGTCTGTCTGTCCCAGCTGCCAGGGACGAGTGTGGTGTGTCTGTCTGTCCCAGCTACATGAGCGTGGTGTGTCTGTCTGTCCCTGCTGGCAGGAATGAGCATGTTGAAGCAGGGCAGGACAGAAATTGCTCTTCGATTCTGTCTCACACTTAGATCCAGAGGGGTGGGAGTGACACATTTTCTTTTTATTTTTCAAGCTTTCAGACCAGACTCCCCCCACACACACCCCATCTGGATGTCCCTCTTTCAGGCGTCCCAGGCCTTTCCGGGAGGGCAGGTGGCCAAGATATTTCGCTCCCTAGCCGGTGAAGTTGTCCACCAGATGCTTCTGAGGCCATTTGCCCAGCCCTTGGGCGGTCAGGTGAGCGAAGAACCGTCCCTTGGCGCTCTGGTAAGATGCCGCCTGGGCCTAAAGAGGGGGAGAGAATCAGGCTGTGACCTGGCCAAGGCACCGCAGAGCTACCAGACTCCTGAGCAAAGAGGTTTAGGTCTCACCTAGGTCAGAACCAGCGCCATGTCCGGGGGGGAGGGGGCACAGAGCTGGGGAAGTGATCGGGCTAACGTCACATGCAGAGTTAGGGGCAGGCATGGGGACAACACACAGGAGTCCTGCTGCCCCTCAGCCCCTCTTCCTGTAACCACTAGACCCCGCTCCCCTCCCGGAGCCTGGCATAGACCCCAGGAGGGCTGGCTCCCACCATGTTTCCCGTCCATCCCTCGCCCTGCAGCACCCAACCTTGGCTTGGTGGTAAGTGGGCAGCGCCAGCAGGTCACTCCTGTGCATGGCCTGCGCCACCTGTCGGAAGCAGCACAGCATAGCCAGCTTGCAGATCCGGCTCCGGCTGGCCTGGCCCTCCAGGGCAGGGTCTCTAGGGGAGGAAGGAGATGCTCAGCGGGGGCTTGGGCAGCTGCAGACCCCCTGCCTGCCGCCGTTCTCCCCTGCTGGGAAGGGAGCCGCTGGCTTGGG